ATAAATAACATGCCTAGCAACCTATATCAAAAACATGTTTATTCTTTTCTTGTTGATTTTAATATTTTATTTATTTTCTTACTGACAATGTACTAACATTCCTGGAGAACCCACAATAATACCCAAGACTTTTTAAAAGCAGGAAGGAGCCCATGTCTGAGTATTTAATTCCAGCTGTTTCCTTTGACCCATCTCTTTCTTTCTCCCCAAAGCCCTGCTTGGCTGATCTTGAATCCTACCAGCACATTTGATGTACCACAAACAAAATCTCTCCCAATTTTTTATGTCTATGTCTACTAATTTTCTTCTTTAGTTCCTACTACTAAGTCCTGTGTGCAGATCAGCCCCAGTTCTGTAGTTATTTTGATCTGAAACACTTTTAGGAAACTGTTATGTATTCACAACCTCCTGTTTTTCTGGAATAAAAACTGCTTATGCATGATATTACCTACTATTCAGATTTTATAATGTCATATTAGAGTACCATCTGGTCCTGTACACTTGCTGACATCAACCAATGAACCGATGTATTTTTTCCCTACTGTTCCAGGTTTGTCTGTCCTAAAAAAATCATTAGTAAAAAAGAAGTAAGAGGCCCATTTGCATTAAACAGCATAACACCAACTAGCATGGGGTGTAGTACACATTATGTTCCTGCATTATGCTACAATTTGGGTTTCCTCTAGAACTGGTCTGTTCGTGACAGATATGTACAGCTTCGTACCCCACATTCGAAACAGGATGCATCTACTGCACTAATTGGTTGCTAGGGGGGTAAGCTACGGACTACACTGAAGAAAATTATGCCTGTTCCCTAAAACCCTGCAGTAACACACGCTAATCCTATTATCAACATCTTGACAAAAATCAAATGAACAAGTGTACAATTATTTTAATTGTTTCCTTTTTCACATAAGAAATGTCAAAAGCTATTAGACCAAATCTATTTACAAAACATTTGCTGAATTCATAAGATTTTGTAATCACGTAAAACATCAGACGAGACGATGACCACAGTCTTAGCCCCTGATAGGTGGCCTGATTACTGACTTCCAACCAGAATAGCTTTCTGCTTATTAAAACAATTCTGCGGGACAGCAGTTAGCTCATTTCAAACACTGTGCAGCCAGGATGGGATTTCAGAAGACCTGCTATTTACTTGGTTATTGTGGAGGCATTCAAACCCCTCTTCCTTGCCATGTGGGCTCACAACAGGCCCAGCCAGGTCTTTCTGGGGGAGCTACACTGTTCACCCCAACGTATGCAGCTGCACCACGTATATCTTACACAGTGGCTACCATGCTTTCCTGCCCTGTTTCTAGGACCTAACATTCAAGTGACACTGCACAGGACAAATATAGAAAGATAATAACTTTAGCATCTCACGTGGAAGGAAAGAGGGCTTGAATGTGCACCTGAAGCAGCAAGATTGTCTATTAACTATTTCATTGTCTCTAGCCTGAAAGACTAAATTCATTCTACTCACATCACATGTGGTCTGTTCTTTTCAACAGAGTACTATATAGTGTGAACATGTAAACTGGGAATGGTCCAAGTAGCCTTCAATGTATTCAATTTATATTATGGTAATGAATTCTGGGCCTCAAGTGTGTGCTTGGGTACAGATAAACTAACTATGTAAAAAATATATTAAAATCAATGGATGATCATTAATAGAAAAACTTGCACCATTAGGTAAATATTTTAAGTGCAGAAAAGGGAGCTGCAGACCAAAAGCACCTAATATGTAACCCATATACTTGCACACCTGAATTCAACTTACTGTGTCTCATAGTGCTCAAGTAATTTGGGACCCATTGAATTTTCTGTATGACACATACCCACTTGGTAGGAAACAGACTTACTGAAGGATCACCACCAGGTATAAATACTACACAAGTTTGTGTTAGTGATTATTTATGACAAACATATTGCATAGACACCTTATGTCATTATCTCCATTTTTGTTAATTGAGGTTAATCATAGGATCAAGCTGCATTTTCACGTTAACATGTCAAAGGAAGAGCAGAATATTTTTATATACTGAAAGCTCAAGAAAAACAGATTCTTTTTTTTTTTTTTCTCCTCTCTTGTGATATAAAGACTGTTATTAGATCAGTTTCACACATGAGCTGGGCATGAGGCAGCACTCTCACAGAGTAAGCGTGACAGTGCCACTGAAGTCAAGTAATAAATTATGCATTGAGAAAGCTCTTCTTTGTTGTAACTTCCTGCCCATCTCCTCTAATCATACACTGAGCCTGCTGAAGCATCCCATCTTTGGGCATCTACTTCCACTCTAACTGGAAGATGCATCAGCACCTGAAGACCTTCTGCCTCCATGCAAACAGCTCGTCTGCAAGTTTGGAGAGTTTCCAAAAGCCAGTTGTTGTTTTAGCTCTGAGAATTTTTATTGGAAGCTCTTAGAATTTTTATAAAAAATAAAAACATATTGTCGACTCTGTACCACTAATGCATAATGGATTCTCTGAGAGAACAACACAGACAACTCACATTGCTTCAGCTCTCAGTGGTCTGTTCTCCCACCTGCTGTCAAGGCCATTAACCAAATGTGTTGACAACCTCAGATACCATGCTGGTTATCAGTGCCATACTGTAGGAAAAGATCTAATATTCCTACAACAACCCTCATATCCAACTAGTTCAATATTAAACATTTAATTGCAACTGCATGGCTACCCTCATTCTGTCACTTGGCAGTAGGTATTTACAATTATTTATAAGTTTTAGAGGCAACTATTTTTGTATGAGGTTCTGATATAGAAGTTCTAAAAACCAAGATCAAAATTTTAGACCCTGGAAGAAAATTAATATGGAGAAATAGATTCATTTGGAGCCCAGATACAGTCTATCTGATTCCATTTCAAAATAAATGTTATACTAGTTAGTTCCTTTTCCAACACACTAATGTCTCTCAGCACTCACAGGTCAGCATTACACACTAGTACAAAATTTAATCTACATTCTTATTTTCCTTAAAAATGTGCATTTTCAAAGACTGTATCCATACAACTGTTTCCTCAGAATAACTGAGCAAAGTAAGATTTAGCAAATACAGTGCTCTTCTAATATCCATAAAGAATACTTAAGAAAATTACAGATATGTAATTTTACAGGTATTTTTTAACAGCCTTCAATTATTAACAATCTGGCAGCCAGCTGCACGAAAGAGATCTTTTTCTTTCACAGTCACTGCTTATGGAGAACCTTATATCTTCAAAGTAAAAATAACAAATAGTGCTCGTTTTACAGCTGTTAGAAGAGCTTTTATTGTACACAGGGAGAGTACTAGCATACATAAACTAAAGGCAAAAACTAAAAATAATTTTTTTTAAAAAAAAAGCAGAGCTGTTTTTAATGATTTTTTTTTTGGCTGACAATAACTATTTTAATATTGCTTACTCATTATTGTGCAGCCTAGGTAGACACATATGAACCTAAACAGAGCTAAAAATGACATAGATTTTACTTCCAAGAAAAGCTATCTAGCAATAATCTACAGAACTGAAAATAAGTCCATCTGCTTGTAATCAGGAAGTGCTCTAAATTTCTTAAAAAACACTTCAGAAACAGTTAACTGCTATACAAATATTCACCCAAGACAATTTTTCCGCATGGTTGTTTTTATCAGCATACAGTAAACAGGATTTTACAGCTAATATGCTAATTCTAATATTCATTTCCTCATTTGCACTGATATTTTTATAAGCACAAAGATATTGCTAAGGGCTGTCATGTTCAGGTTTCGAACATACTTACACAGCCAATGAAATAATATTATTGGAAGTTACCTTATCATCATTTTACGTTTAAGACAAAAATTATAGCCTCAAAATAGAATTTTAACAGCTCCAAATTAGTGCAGTCAATAGGGAATGTCACAGGTCAATAAGTTCACTCTGAACTGATCATTAGCTATTGGATTTTTGGCAACATAAGAAACAAAGATTCATATATCAAGGTGCTACCTAGAATCAGTGCTCAGTGTCCTTATAGACATCATAGAAAATTTATTTTCTTCTGAGGAAATCCAGAATTATGCTCTGAGATAATTTATTTGTAGTTTTTGTTGTTGTTGTTTTGAGAAACTTTAGAATAACTAAGAAAATGGCTAAGATTTATCAGAATATTCAGGAGTACAGATCAGCTAATCAAGTTATTTTCTTACAGTCAACTACAACTGAAATATTTCTTAAATGACATATATATTCCCACAAGCTTGAAGCAGCTATTTTAAACTCCTGGGCATGTATATGGTATTCATGGCTAAACAGAATTTTCAACAGGCCTATGCAATCTCATGTTTACTGAAAGTTTATAGAATCTCTATATAACAGATATATATGTTTCGCAGTTCTTCATGTGGGACACTCATATGACTTTTATAAGCTAACTTAATTAGCTACTCTAGACATTTCAACTTATTTGATTTAGATACAGAACTGCAAAAATGCACTGTTTTTCCATTTCCTTACACATCCTCCTTACATTTCTTCCTATAGCACACAGGCTCCACAACACTTTGTGTTAGAAGTTTGATTAATACACTAAGTAGGAATTACATAATTCTACAGGCATACAATACCTTGAGACGTAAAAACTTGTGTTTGTGTAGGAACAAGGGAAGTGAAGTCTTTTCGTCTTACGGGTGCTGGCCTTCACAACCTGCTTTTCATATTACAGCTTATTTGAGTCATCTACATTTAGATAAATAAGACTATAGGTTGATTTCGATCAGTAGAAAGCTGATGAACCATCCTTTTTTATAACACAATTACAGAAGGCCTCTTAAACATCCTTTTACTGTGACTACCAAGCTTTTTTAATCCATCACATAAGTAAGGGAAAGTTCAATTCAAATCTTTGCAGATCAATGCTGTTATGCAACACATGATTAAGCAGTATATTCAGCCTGAAGAAGCCGTATGTTCACAAAAGCTCCCTGCAGATCTCAAAGTGTCCTAAAAAAATCACATACCTGAAAAAGCTCTGTGGATTTGGTTTCATGCTTGAGGTTTTATGCATTAAAATATATTGTCCCTGCAAATCTTCTGGTTTTACATTCATAGATTCATTTCATAACAATCTATAAGAAAAACAAAAGCAAAGGAAAAAATGGTCTCTCATAGAATTTAGAATAAAGGACTTCATAAGGTTTTCAAATAGTAGACTCCTTTAAGAGATACCTTCAAGAAGTAAAATGGAATTAGGTTAAAGGCCTAAAAGCCTTCAATTAAAAACCCTGCTCAGTGAAGTCCTTTCTTAGAAGGGCTGTACAAGAAAGAAAATTAGAAAGAGACAAGTACTTACTCCCATTCAGTGACCTTTCAAATGACTTTGAAATAAACGTTTCACAATTACTGCCTTAAAAAACAATGTATCACACACTTCTTCTAAGGTCTTCACAGAAGTAACAATTTACAAGAAAAAATTGAAATACATAGATATATATAAATCTAGCTTTTTTTTTTCTTTTAGCATTTCAAAGTATTAGGCATATATCCATATATTCTCATCCAGGCTAAATACTATTTCATGAGCATTTCAACAGCACCGTGGTGTTAAGCAAACCATAGTTTGCCTCAGTTGTAGCATGAAGCATAGAGTATAACTAAACTGATGGAAGTCTCCAGATCAAGCACAAAATCTGAAAGGAAGAAGCCTTCGCTATGCAGCTGTGCAGAGACCAGCCACAGCACACACCTGTTACTGCATAGTGTCAGTAAGTCTACTCCCATTTCATCAGCTTGTGCTTTCTGAGTTTGTATACCTAATTGACATACCAGCATCAGCATATACTGAAATTAATCACTGACACTTCTATTTTCCCTCAGCCTGTAATCTATTAGCTGTCCAAAGAAAAGACACCTTCTGTCTCTCACAGTGAAGACCCCACGATAATTAATTGCCAGCAGCTAGTAATCTGCATTAAGCAATATCAACAGGATGAAAGAATCCCTTCAGAGAAACTAAAGCTCAAAAAAAAAAAAAAATGGATAGGAATTTTCTGGATCTTTCTTCCAACACCAGAATTTTCCTGCCGGTCTCTTTCCAAAGAAGGGCCACTTGATAAGCAGACCTTTCTTCATGGGCAGATGAAGAATATGTTTTAAATTTGTCACGACATGGTTCAACTACAGTAGGAAAACACCGACAATAAACATTTTCAAACCTGGCTAATGCAGGTATTTCAAATGGCCTTTTTCACCAGAGCCAATAAACACAAAAAGAGCAGGCCAAACACAGGGGACAACATGGCAAGGCCCAGCCTCCAGTCCAGGGAGAACAAATAGTTAAAAGCCAGCTTCATTTCAAGAAAAATTACGTTTTAAATTTTCTCTATGGCATAACCTACAAAGCATCAGCCAGACACGGACTACCAGCGTGTGACACTGAGCACAGCCATGTGCTTCACCAGGTGAGGCCAGAAGCATGGCACCACAGCTGAGCAGCAGCACAGGCGCTTCCCTCAGTGAGCAAGACCCGGCCGCCTCCTGAGCAGCCAGCCCCAGAGCTGCCCCAAGCCAAAGCACTGCCAGACACAGCCTTTGCTTCCAGTTGTTCCCCATTGATCTACATCTCTGACCTTAAGCTTGTTTTAACTTTAGAGTTACTTTTACTACAACTTTTGTCAGAAACAGACACTTCCTGCAATCAGCTGCGGGACACTGAAGGAACAGAGCAACTGCTTTCACACAGAAGGCTATCACACTCTCTAGTAGACCCCCCCTTCACATGACTAAAGTCTTGATTTCCCTTAAAGGATTTTATCTTCAGTAGAAACACTGACTGTACATAATCCTAAGCATAAAAAACAACACACATGCAATATTAAGATACAAAGCAGAGAAACTTACAATGCATGCATTAACCAACGGCATCTCACAGGCCGCAGGAGCAAAGCACCCCACAAGCATACGTGAGCCAAGAACTGCACATGTCCCCAGCACAAACAAAACTATCCCACTGGAATAGGAAAGAGAACAAAAACTCCTGTTGACAACACCCTAGCCATCATGGAATCATGTTTGAGGCTACTCTGAAGAAATTTCAAAACAATTCAGGAACAGAGCTACACCTGTAGCTAACTCAAAAGAGGAGTGAGGGCCTGAGCCACAGCTGAAACACCACTGCTGGCAGGGTGCCGATAAGGGTCCCAAGTGAGATTAATTAGAGTAGTTAAGACCTATTAGCACACTTGGGACCTTGACACTACTATTAAAAAATGTATATGTTAGATAATATTAAAGGAGTTGGTAAAGCATTGGGGCATAGGAAAAGAGGAAAATCCCAAAGTTCAAGCACATGTATTCCCAGCACCTTACCTATTACGATATATCATAAGATGAAAACCTATATCTTTCCTCTCCCCACAACTCTGTTTTTGCCCGTAAGTGAACCAACATTGTTTCTATTTGTATTAATCTTAACTTTTCTTTGTTCATTCCCTCCTAGTATACCTAAAGGAAAAATTTGTAAAAAGTACTAGAATCAAAAAGATAATATATTTTTATGCATTATCCTAATGCATTACCTGTTGTTTAGAAAAGTTTTGTTGTGCGTGAGTAATGTACAGTGGTGTTAAATAGTGCTTAGGTATTTGAATGCATATGACCTTTTCTCAGATATACAAAGGTCAGTAACTTCTGTGGCCTTGTATTGAGTTTAGGTGGCAGGGGGTTGGTAACAGGGGCCTGCAGGAATGGTCTTTGTGAGAAGAAACTATAAACTGACCTACGTTAGTTAAGGGCCAGTTTCAGACACTTCCTAAAAGACCTGCCACTGTCTAGAGCTGAGCCAATAAGTGATGTTGGTTAGGTCTCTCTTATAGCAGATTAGAGAAAGGAGAGGAGAAAGGAAAAAGAATTACTGTGTAGCAGCACCTGGGAGAGTGAGGAGTGAGGCTGCAGCCCTGCAGATCCCGAGATCAGTGCAGCAGGAAGTGCTCCAGGCAGTCAGCAGCAGTTCCCCTGCGGCATGTAGAGAGGCCCCTGCAGCCCATGGGTCCCACGTGGAGCAGATCTCCATGCTGCAGCCCGTGGAGGAGCCCCTGGTGGAGCAGGTGGATGTGGCCTGGAGGAGGCTGCGGCCCATAGAAAGCCCCTGCAGCAGCAGGCGCAGGGCTGGAGCTGCAGCCTGCAGGTGATCGTGTTGGAGAATTTTGCTCCTGATGGATGGACCCCAGGGTAGGGAGCCATGTGGGAGCAGTTCTTGAAGAGCTGCTGCCTGTGGGAAGACTCTGCAGCGTCAGTTCAGGAAGAACAACAGCCTGTGGGAGGAATCCCATGTGGAGCTGGGAAAGGGAGTGACTGTGAAGGAGAAGGTGAGATGAAGTGTTAGGGACTGACCCTGGCCCCTGTTTTCCTGCACTGTTCTGAGGAAGGAGGTAGGAAAGGGTGGATGGGAGAAAGGTGTTCTCAGTATTTTTTTTTAATTATTATTTTTTTCTCTCTGCTTTACCTTGTTAGTGATAGCTAATAAATTACATTAATCTCCCTATGCTGGGTTTGTTTTGCCTGTCAAAATAATTGTTGAGAGATCTCTCTGTCCTTATCTCAGCCCTTGAGCCCTTTTTCATTCTATTTTCTCCCCCCTTTCCTTTGAGGAGGGTGAGTGAGAGAGCAGTTTTGGTGGAATTAACCCGTCCAGCTGGGTAAAACCATCACAGACCTTTCCTATTGTTTTTGTGCGTATGTGAATTTTTACAGCAACCCTTGCAGCTTTCTTTCTAGGTCTAAGGATGAGATGCTCTCTGCTAGGTGCCAGAGGAACAAGGGCATTTTACAGCCTCTAATTCTCAGTGTAGGGGAACAATGTAGTCAAGCCAGACTTGCGCACAACATTTACTTTCCATGTTGGGTGGAAGGGGAAGGAGGAGAGCAGGGTTGGCCACCCCTGTAGTCACTGAATTTGTGGCTATGGCCCCACACCCAGCACCAGTGTGGTTGACTCAGGCAAGGTAAGATAGAGCAGCCCCCAAATAGGCATGCTGCTAAATAGTGCCAAAGTAGGCACTGCTGTCTGAGCTTTAGTCCTTATTGCCAAAACCCCCAGAATCCTCAAAATGAGAGACAGAGTGCTTCTGGGGAAGATACTGGGCAAACTGAAAGTAAGAAGGTTTTAAGGACTGCTTCTGCCATTTTATGGTTAGACTAGCCACGTACTTGTGGTCTGTAATGAGCTTTAATTTTATGGTGTCAAGGATGATAACTGTTCACTAGGGGCTTTATCAGGACACTACACGTGTAGATACTGGGGACCTTATGTATGCAAAGTGCACCAATGCCAACAGGAGCTCAAGAAGGAAGTGCCTTTGTATCAGCAACTGCATTGCACTGAAGGTGGGTGTTCTGCTGTGATGTAACTGCTTTACATAATATTAAGCGCAAGATGTGGTGAAAATTCACCCCACAGTTCCAAGCAAAAATAAATGCCTTTCACACCTCATCTGTGGACTGCCTTTTGCTTGGTCCCACACTTGTCCCTCTCTCATTCATTTTCTTTCTTTAAAATGTGTGCAGCTCTCCATGGCTGTAGAGACAGGAAAACAAAATGTAGACTGAATTTCATGTGTGACTTTTGAAAGCTCTTGGGTCACAAGTTATGGATGTTTTTAAGCAGTATAGTCTACCTAATGTGATATGACCTATCACATGCAGGTGATAGGACAGTTTGCACAACTAATTATATATGATAATAGCTGTAAGTAGGAATGTAAGGTTTATTTATTTATTTTTTTTTAACACAAAAGAAGTTTGATACATTTCTTGGTAATTTATTTTAATAGTATATGTGCCAGTATATGTGGTGGGTTTCTTTTTTAACTTACAGATTTTAAAAGTACAGTAATTGAATCAAGGTAAGAAATTGTCTCAGTTCAGAAAATGCCTTTAATTACATAGACAGAGTCTATATAGCTCTTCTGCAACAAATAGTTTTTTATAAGGATTGGTTCTAAAATTATTTTTGAAACTGTCTGTTTTTTCTGTTCCTGCAATGAAATTACTGTTCTCCTCCCTGAATGTTATTTGAGATTCTAAGGTTTTTAAATGTTTAGGTTTATTTAGTCATTCACTTATCAGCTATGTTGTCAAGCAGAGTTTATACAAGTATCATAAAATCATTAATAAAAATTAAAGTGATATAATTTTTAAAGCAAATTTATTTGGAAAAAAAAAACTGATTTTACTTCAGTCAAAACACATGAGTCATTCCTTAAATGCAGCTTGAACACAGCATGACAGGGCAAATGACTCAGGTTTCAGTATTCTGTAGTCTAACTTTTATATAAAAATACAAACTGCTAATTTAATAACTAACTTGTTTTATCCCTATTAATTTATACATGCATATTACTCAATGTATGTTGATCTGCAATAGCTTAATAAGATGACATAACTGAACTCATCATTTTCCTTCCCTTTGATTAGAAAGTAATACATAGAAATAACTTTTTGTTTGTTTGTTTAAGTCAATGATCAAACACTGTGATGTCAGTATTTCCACAACACCATGTGCAACATAGTGGCAGGCAACTAGATCATGCTATCTCTGCTAAATATTCTCTAAAGATAATGGAATAACCTGCCCAACACAGTGCATAGTTGTGAACTCCTGCAATACAGACAAATGAATGACATCCGTGTCAACTAAAATATGCAGGAGAGATGTTAATGACAAACTAGTGATTAATATTCTTTTGCTTGGATGTGGGCAGGAGTAAACCATTCAACCCAGTGGAAGCATGCTTTGTTTTATTGTAGATTAGGGAGACTCTATATATTCAAAATACACTAGATGAAGCAGATCTACTAATAGCACCACATCAACTGAAGTTCAACCCAACTGAACACAATCCCCTTTGCTTATACTAGCCTGGCTTAAACTTGCCAAGTTCATTTGTTACTGTCAAGTGATAAGCATTTATCTCCTTTGGAAATTCATGTCACCTGGCTTTATAGATGCTGTTATGAAATATTCAGTTACCTTTTAATGGCAATATATACATTGTAATCATTGTGTTTGCGTAGTGAACGTAGTGTTTGTGGATGATGCTCATCAGACTAAAATTTTCCATAAGAGGGTTATAGGCTTAAGTTTTAAATTTAACATGTTAGTGAGGTAAAAGATATGTGTTGAATGCTAAACTTTATTAACTGTAAAAAAAGACCACAGTTACAGTTATCAGGACATCCCCTTTTAACAGTGCTGCTTTTTAAACATTTTATATATTAGCTTTGATTGAAGTATCTGCAAGGTAGTGGTTAAAGCATTTTTCAATATACCATACAAATAAAAATGACATCACACTTAAACCCTGTAAACTGAGCTGTTACAAATGGAAATTACTTGCTACTCACAAAGTAGTTAAAGATTAGCCTGCAGTACCTTCCTACTGACAAAAAGCTTTGAAATGTCAGCAGCAGCTTAAGTTTGTTTTCACAGAATTGCAGAGTTGTCTAGGTTGGAAGAGACCTCAAGATCATTGAGTCCAACCTCTGACCTAACACTAACAAGTCCTCCTCTAAACCATATCACTACGTTCATCATCTAAATGTCTTTTAAAGACCTCCAGAGATGGTGACTCCACCACTTCCCTGGGCCTATTCCAATGCCTCACAACCCTCTCAGTAAAGAAGTTCTTCCTAATATCCAACCTAAAACACCCCTGGTGCAACTTTAACCCGTTCCCGCTTGTCCTGTCACCAGGCACGTGGGAGAATAGACCAGCCCGCACCTCTCTACAGCCTCCTTTAAGGTACTTATAAAGAGTGATAAGGTCACCCCTGAGCCTCCTCTTCTCCAGGCTGAAAAAAAAAACAGCTCCCTGAGCCACTCCTCGTAGGACTTGTTCTCCAGACCCCTCAGCAGCTTCGTCGCCCTTCTCTGGACTTGCTTGAGCACCTCCATGTCCTTCTTGTAGTGAGGGACCCAAAACTGAACACAGTACTCGAGGTACGGCCGCACCAGGGCTGAGTACAGGGGGAAAAGGTTTCCTTCTTCTAAAGTCTCACCTTTTTCTGAGGAAAGGACACAGCAATCCAAAGTAAGATAATTTCCTTTTCTGTCTTAGCCT